AGGACGTCACTCTGCCTGTCTGTTTTCTCAATGATAACTTGGCAGGAGAAGGGGGAAGCTACCAGGTTGGGGCTGGTTGTTGTTGGGGGGTTTTTTGGTTTCTTTCTTTCTTTCCCCGGGCTCATGCTACATGGTACGTGCACGTCTCTGGGCATGCCTGGCGTGTGGCTCCGCAGCGATGCAGGCGCACATGTGTGTGCCTCTGCCCGCTTGCAGGGGGGGGACTGCGCTCTCCGAGTGCTGTGCTGCCTTCGCGGGGATGGAGTCGCTGTGTGTGCTGCTGCTGCTGCTGCTCCTGCTGCTGGAGGAGGAGGAATCAGGCATGCGTTCATCTTTTTGTCTTTCATTTTACCTTCAGGGTGACATTCAGGGCCGTGGTCACCGCCAAGCCCCACCTGGGGAAATCAAGGGGGCACCGGCGGTGGGGTAGGGGGAGCAGGTGCCTCCTGCAAGAAGCGGGCTCGTCGCCCACCGCCAGGAAAAAAGACAACGAGCCATTTTCTCCGCTGAAGGGGAAGAGCGGCAGAAATGCCAGATGAATGCACTTGTCTCTAGGATGCAGGCAGCGCCTAGGCCTAACTCAAAAGGTGCTTTCTGCCCCTTAGAAATTTGCTTTCAAGCCCATTAGGAGGGAGGGGGGGGAGCCGTGAGTGCATCCCTGTGGGCCTGCGTTCAGTTTAGGGAGCACTAGCGTTCCTGCTAGGGTGAACGCGGCAGAGCTGAAAGGGAAACAGAGCTGGCATTTTGAGAGCGGAGGAAGCTCTTCGTACAGAAAGCAAAAAAGAAAATCCAAAACAGCCTTGACCAAAGATTACCAGCAGTTAATCTGGTACTGCAACCAGCTGCAAGGCTTCCGGAAAAAAAGACTGAGTTCTGAAAAGCTTCGTGCATGCGTTCGTTAATAAATGCTGTTTGCATAAATCCAGTGAGGGCCCAATGGGGCGCCTCTCCCTTTGGAAGTTGAAGGCCCAGATCCTGGGAACGCATGTGTGGCCTCGCTCAACTCATGGGACTTCTCACATGTGCGAATGTACTCGCGTGCATCAGTGTTTGCAGGACTAGGCCTGATTTTGCAACCTCAACCATAATTTGGGTTTTTGAATGGAATGGCATGTGCACCCCGGCGCTTGACATGCCAAAAATCGATGGTTATGCGACGTAAAAAAATGCCTGCTTGTAGAAGTCTGGAATTAAAAAGTTGAGTTGAACAGAAATGCAGCTCTGCGGTGTGGCACTTCCTTGTGCCTTTCGTTACCTTTTCCTATAGCAGGTCATATAATACCTACGCATTTAACCAGGAAAAATGCAATTCACGAATGATCTGTATGTGTTAATGTGGCCAATATCCAGCTATTGCAATTTTACTTTTTTGCATTTCCTGACTTTGTTATTTTATCTGTGTCCTTAACATGAGCATTAACGTTTTTTTTTAATTTAATTTCCCAGGTTTTTATGTGAAATAGGAGGGGGAAAAAAGAACATTGCCTGTGCTTAATAATGTTTTTAGCGTTTAACTGGTGTACATTAAATTTTGCTGTTTGTGTCTTACTGAGGAGAGATTCTTACTTTTCCTGCTGCTGAAAGAGTTTTCTGCAAGGCTGGGTTAATAGGGCAACAGAACATTGTTTTTCATTGCAATGCCTGTATCTTTCGGGGGGGACACCCTTTTTTTTTTAAGTGGTGAAAACCCAGAATTTTCCGAATATGGACAGAAACCAATATGAAATGAGACATCCATAGGCTTTTTTTAAATGCCCAAGTTTATTTTCTAGTTTCTGATAGGAAAGCCAATTTTTCCTGAGTTTTTTTAAAACATATTTTGCAGCGTATTCAAATGAGATATTTCCAGTCTCCTTCAGGTAAAGTGCCTTGGAGCAAAACAATGGATTGCTGGAAAAGATTGAGAAGGATTTTGAAATATAATATACAGGCTGGTCCCTGACTGTGTTTTAATTTTAAACAAGACTTTTTTTTGTGGAAAGTTTTTTTTTGTTTTTTTTTAAAGTCAGAGGTATGCTGTGGCTCCCCCAGGAGTAAGTGACTGTTGCTCAGCACCTCTCAGGAGCTGAATCTCTGAGCAGATTTTGAATGTGGGACCTGTTGTGCACAAATTAATTTTTAAAGTAGGTTTCAGAAGAAACCTATCTGTGTAATATATATATAATTATCATGAAAGGAAATGAGTAGGCTAGCATCTCCCAAAACAACACTGAAGAAATTGGTCAGCCTTTGCAAGTCAGGCATTACCTATAGGCCCAGGTTCAGCCTGGGTGAAATCTCTGGAGTTTTGCCCATTTACAGCATAGTTAACTTTGGCCTACAGAGTCATTCAGCTGTTTACTCTTTTCAGAGCAGCCTAGCTTACTTTTGCAAGCATTTTAAAGTCCACTACATCTTCCCCAGCGTGAATAAAATAAGTTATAAATCAGCCATTTTTCACGTAGGCCAGTCCTGCTGTATTTCCTATACCAAATGTTGGGTATGTCTACATGGCAGATGAAAGTTTGAATAGGCTTACCTACCCTAGCTTTAATCTAACTAGCACAGTAACAAGAGTGAAAATGTGGTGACATTTTCAGGACAGGCTGTAAAAGCCCACCAAAGACCCTGGACAGGTTGCAAGCCAATTCTAAAGCCTGATGATATTTTTATTGCTATTAATATTCATGTTACCAGGATTAACAGTAGCGGGGGTACAGGTACCTGTGCTGCAGTTGCATCTTCATTTGCTGAAGATCTTTATGTACCTACGAAAGTTACTCTGGAATAAAGTTGTACATGAATTTAAAACAAAATTAATCTGGAATGGCCCTCTGTAGATACTCTTATTCTGGAATAAGACAGCCTTTTTCTAGTTAATCTTAAACCATATTGAAAAGGAGTAAGAGTATCCATGCATGGAATTAGTCAGGCACATCTACTTTGGTAAATTTACTCTAGAAACTGTTCCTGCAAAAACTATGCCAAAGACAAGTCCTTCGGTGACAGGTAGTCCAGCATATGGAAAAAAGTCAGGGGACTCGTTTGGAG